ATAAAATGCCTCTATTTACATGAAGAAATTTCCACAGAAATAATTCCAAAGATTTTCTACACTATCAACACCTGAGTATGAATCTTTCCGTAGCACACTTGTGAAATGCGCAAGCAATTTACCACACTATCTCACAGGAGTCCGAATAGAATTGGCGTCCATCCCGAAGTTTTGGGGCTTTCCCTGGTATTTTACTCATACACTCACCTTCACTCAGGAGAAACACTCATAAACAAATTTATTGATCAATCATATCATAGCCAAATTTCATCGGATAGCCTGAATGGAACAAATTTGATCATGCCAAATAATGAACCGATTGTGACAAGATAACCTGAAAATGATCACAGCGAACGGGAATTCGGCGAATACTGTCTAGACAATCGATCAAACACAGCTACTCGCATAACGCCCAGATCAAGTCGTATCGAATGCTAAACTCCGATCGGATCTTCGTGTGACTGTGTTGTATGAAACGCTGCCCAGAATCCCTGCATGCGATATCAAGAACGACCGTGAACCGGTATCGCAACACTGTCATTGGCATTCCGTTGCATTAAGCAGTGGAAGCGTAATGAATTGCGCTTACAACTGACGACATACGACCTCCTACCATGCAAATTACTCCGACTCTGGCAATCCGCGGGTTCTTGCTAGATGCTGGGTTGTTGCACCCAGGATGAAAGTGTCGAAATTCACTGCCGATTCCCCCATCCATCATCAAGACTTCCTCTAGTGAGTGCCTGAACAAAGCGGTTGAGCTCCTTCCGAATTTATGGCCTTCCAAAAATCCATAAACCACGCGTCCCGGTGCAACAGATAGTAAACCGAATAGGTTCTTCACCGCATGAGCTTCTTGGCAGTTGATTTAAAGCCCCTAGCTGAAAAATCTATTGTTTACCTAAGGGATTCACATGACTTCTCCAACCGGGTAGCGGGTGTCCCCATTGAGTTAGATGATATTTTGTTAGTTTCGATGTGAATTCGTTATGTTCAAATGTTCCAAGGATGGATGCTTCAGCAACAACCAAGTAACAGCTATTAGCAGACACCATCCTTTCAGACCGGACACAGCTTATGGTAGTTGAAAAAGTGGATGGTATAAAAGCATGTCTGAATCTCACGCACTTCGCTTTTGGCCGGGTGGTTTATAATAAAGAACAAGGTTTAGGAATGAAACCTCCAAAACTCCGGGTTTGGGCAGCTATATTTACGGAACAACTTTGAACAGAGAACTTCAGCCGGATTCTCATACCCACCTAAGTTAATCTGGCCGTATGTGGATGACACTTTTGTCATGATGAAAGGAGAGGTTAGTGAGTTTTACAAATATCTGAATGAACTGCGTCCACGGATCCAATTTACTATGGAGTAGTGAACTTGGGTTGCACTGGAATTTTTAGACTGCACGACACAAAACGTGAGGGAACTTATAGACCAATCTACGAGAAGCCACTCGACACTGGAGCAGATTTAAGCTACTCGTCTTATCATCCGAACTCGTTATTATCTAGCATTTCCTCGTTAACGTTTTAGCGTGTAAGGGCCTTGTGCACGGGAGAGGTTGATCGGACAGCGACCAAAATTGAAGTAAAGAACAAAATTTTGGTCAATGGATATATAGCTAGCTTGGTTAGGCATCAAATGCGAGGGTGTGAGTACCGGTAGAGAAACCTTAACAGGGAAGTGATCAGGACCGCTGTTATTCCGAGCTCATTCTAAAGATTCTAATCACGGCTAACATAAGCGTAGCTTTACAGACAGAATATACTGCGCTCTGCACTAATGCAGTTGAAGGATTGCCTCCTAGAAACAGAACCAGGGACATCCTCTACGTAATTAAGTATATTGACTTCAGCGGGACAGACGGCCAGGGGTCTACACATCGCCCTTGACTATTGGGTCATTCACAGATTTCGTTTACCTCAGTTCATCAAATGTGCGGGGACTATTGGTTTGGGGATGAGGCGACGGGGTGGCAAACTGGATATAACTCTAGTTCGTTTTTGTACATTTAGACACAGACCATTTTGCTGCTACCTGCACACAGCCTCGTGTCATCTAGGCTGATATAAGACAGCACTCCACAAGTTTGCAAGTTCTACCCACGCCATTCTATTCACGCTGGGATCCCCTTGGCGATTTTCACCACCTGGACCACATGTCGCTGTGGTGGGAGTCTTAAACCACGTCCCAGAATGTCCACATTTTCCAAATCTTTCCTAGCCCAGTATCTAGTGCATATCCCGCCATTGTCGGATATTTGACTATGGTCTAGTATTCAGCTATGTTTCTCGGTTGTCCAATAATGGAACGCTTATGCTCAACGATTCGGATGCGCAATTCTTTGGCTGTCAATAGACCTATATGTTTTCGTAAAGTCGTTACATTTTATTTTGTATACACAGTTCCTAGTCCTATCAACCGGAAGCCGATCCTTCGAATGCGCCAACACCGAGCTTCAAGTCTTTCTCTTCTGGAATGCTTATCTGATGTTGGCCGTATTCATTTGCCTTTTGATGACTTTAGATATCCCTTTATTGTATGGAATGACGGCTGTTAAGCAACCTTGTGAGTAGCTTCATTTAAAATATTTACTGAGGTATCTCGAATATCGTGCCAAATGGAACATGAGGCGGCCTGGGTGAAGCACGTTTATTTGAAGAAATATCATATCAGTTGAGTTTCTCGTGAAAGCCAAAGTGATTTTCAAATGAGTGTATTTCTCGAATACAGTCCAGTTCTGGTTCAAGTAGAACATATGGTTGAAGGAACCTCGGGGACTTCGCTTACCTGACAAGCCTCAAGAACGATGAAACACGTCGTGGGCTGTCGAAGGGTTTTTAGCAACCTCGTGAGTAAGTCGATTTTCTACTTCAGTTTGCGCTGCACTTCCCCTGGCTTCATCTGTACATTGTGCCGTCACTCTCCTAAACATCGCTGAATCTATGCTAGCATATACTGTTTTTGGATCTGCTTAGTAGTAGTCTAAGTCCATTGGTCTAGGACCGCCCAATTGGTTAGAGTGCAAATTTCCTGACTGGAATATCCGTGGTTCAAACCGGACCTCCGACTCTCGACTTTTTCTGTCTAGGCTTGGGCAACCTGGCGGTATCCCAGTCCTCATGCAACCTTCGGGTGGCATGGAAGTTAGGCACCGAAAAGGCTCTGCAAACTAAACTTTTTGCTGATTTCCGGTGAATTTTAATTTGCAACTCTCTTGTTTGTTATTCAGTCAACGTAACTTAGTGTACCCAAAGGGGCATCTAGCGCCATGTTAGCATAATGTGAGGGTCCGAAGTGTTCAGATATTGAAAGAATTCGCTGAGCCGGTCCCGTTACTTTACACATGGTTAACGCCAGGAAACCCTTGATGAACACCCGAATACGTTTAAAGCTTTCTGCTCAAAGTTTCCGATGTACATATTTGCCCAAATCGGGGATATTGGTGATCCCATCACGAAAGCGTGTTCTTTAGTGTATGTATTTGATTGGTGTGGTTCTTCAGGGTTGATTTCGGGGAATTGACTTCGCCACAGTGCCCAAGTTTTGGAACAAGACTGACCGAAAAGAAACACAACGAACAAGGAGCATCGCGCACTCTTGAATTGAATTGAATCGATGCTTTCGGATCGGCGTTTGTTGGACACTCATCATCGTATGAGTTTGCTTGACTGACTGGGTGCTTGACTCAGCGCCCAATCGGGTGGTTTTAAAGTCTCAGTAGGTTTGGTGCATCGTTACACCGGATTTCTCTAGTGTTCGTTGCACCTGAAAGTAAGTGAGTGAAGTGGGTCAGTCATACTGAAGTTAAAGAGTCTGTATTCTCTAGACCTTTTAAGCATTCCCACAGGATATTTGTCGAAGTCATCGATCTAGACTTACCATTCCGCCGTAAACATGTAGGCGACCAGCAGCACCTAAGGTCGGCGGAAGAGTCGGTGAATTCGTCCTGGTTGTTGACAAGTTCAGGTTTTGCACGAATCCGTGAAAATCATATTGTTATTGAAAACACATCGATTCAATTCACTTCCAGACGCCCACATATCAAAATGGCTATCAAAATCAGGTGAGCCTTCTGAATTCGAAAGTGTATTTTCATCAATACAAAGACTACTATTGGAGGATTAATGTTAATCTCAGGTTATATGTGTTGAGCATCACTTCCCAATTAAAACAATATAAAAGAAAATCTTGCCGTGCTCACCCACAATTTGGGAAATTTAGAAAAGTTGTCACGGAAAGTGATGAAATTACAGAGCAAACTTCTACTTGTTTGAAAGAGCCCATCCATTGAGTTTCATGAACTTGTATTTTTATGTAAACTAAAACCATAGGGAAAAGTAAATTAATCGGTTTGAATCTTTGTCTGACCTGTGGTGTCACTCACTTAGATCAACCGGAAGTTTCTGGAAATCGACGATTTATGCAGTGAGTAACTACCAAGCTTTTGAAAAGTTTCCATTCTGAGTGCAATCGGTTTGGCAAGACTTATCTTGACAAACAAATTTGCCGAATACACATTTCCACTATGACCGTTTAATACCAAACCTCGTATTGATGTCCCCATAAACCAAAGTTTTCAGTAAAGGTACTCATAAGCCAGGCGCTACGTGGAACCAGTTTGCAGACTCAGTTTGATGAAGCACACAGGCGCTCAATCAAATGATCCACAGTTGTATTAGAAAACACCACAAATCCTCAATATGCACAGATTGTTGAAAAACGTTTGAGCAAATGACCAGCCATTGAAGAAGCTGATCACATTGGTTGATCATACCCCGATTGGCATAAACTTTGTACCGCAGACCTATTAGATTTGTGCTGGATGGTTTTTCACACCATCGCCACACATTTGTAAGGCGAAGTTCAAATAACATGAGGCGCACGGTATAAAGTTCCAGGCACATGAAGCTTCGAGTAAGCCGGGATACGATGCGTCGTTGTTCGCTTCTTCTTGCGTTTCTGTTCTGCATCGACCACGTTGCATATTTGGACAGTGTCAGCGTCCACAATTGGCCATCCGTGTTCAACAACCAGCCGTCAAAGAACTGGGTTGTCCTGGTCGCTGGTACCAACACCTGGGAAAATTATCGACATCAAGTATGTTTCAGTTGGTTTTTATTGGTTTGAATCTTACAAGTTCACCTAAATCCCGGAAGAAACGGCTTCCAATGTGTAAGTTTGCATTTGTGTCCCACCTAGATCTCGCCGTGACTAAGATATTTCACTCTCAAAGGCGCTAAACAGAAGCCACAATTTGTGAACGCACATTTAGTGTCCCGTATTGGTTTCCTTCATTATTTCCCTGTCGTAAAACGATATTATGTTTTGGGTGGGGTCGATTCCGCGGACTAATTGAACTCAGATTTTACGCAGGTGTGTAGTGTGTTTCACGTTATTCGGAATCCGATATTGAAGCTTACGGGCCTCGAATCAACTAGTGTATGAACCAGGTCTCATGAATGTCAGCAAAAACCACTGAGGCACCAACAACGTCGGCTGTCACGGCGAAATTGCTATGCAATGTGAGTAGATAAATCTATGCTACTTGGTAAGATCAAGTTTTTGGAATATACATGTACAAATCTGTCATGGTCAAATTCATACGTCCGCTCGTCTATCAATTGCATGGGCTTCCATGTGTAACTTATTGAGAAATTTACACATAATCAGTGCGTGTGTATCCATTCTTAAGATTCAGTGGGTAATATTTTATTGCCACTGAGTTTCGCCGGAATATGACTATCTATCTAGTACACAAGCGAACCACAGACTCGAACTAATTTTCGAAGCCTAGGAATACCAAGATTGTACAGCTACGCTGAGTAGGTCGTTGTTCGGACACTTGACTGAATGGGGCACTTTGGTCCACACAAGCCTTTCCGCCTTAATTCATCCTTAATTCCCTGACATTGTGTCCTCAATCAGGCGGACGATTTCACGCGTATCAAGTCGTGCGTGCAAACAAATTTCCACCGAAAATTGTAATTATCTTCGCCAACGACGACATTGCAAAAAGCTCCAGTTAAATATCGCGTACAATTTTCGCTATATGGTAAAAAATGGAGTGTAGAGGCGCGCTTCGTTGTTTGGCTTTAACACTTGTCTTGGTTTTGCTGTCATATCAGATTTCCTTTGGTTGATGCGTTTTCATGCCTGGAGTCGTCATAGAACCCTGATGCAAGCAGCACATGGATGACGATGTTGGTTTAAGTGCTCGTTTGATTAGTCTGAAATGAATCACACTGATCTCTAGATGTCGTTTTAGTGCTGCTGCTGCTCATGATGATGATGATGACGATGATGATGGTGGTGGTGATGATGATGATGATCAGGATGATGATTTTGATTATGCTGATTGTGGTGATGATCATGATGATGATAATGCGAACGATGATGACGATGATGATCAGAATGATAATAATCAGGATGATGACAGCGATTATGATTGTTTAAGGAATGTCAAAGAATGCGCCTACCTGATTTGCCGCACGAAGCACGAACAATCCTGGACTGTTTTTGGTTATGACTCAAAAATCGATGTTAGTATGGCGAAGGAATACTCGTATGAATGGATTGCAGTCAAAATCAATCAATATACCAATGGCGTTCATGTTGTCAGTTTCTATCCAGATTGTCTGACTAGGTGTCTAATGTGTGGGGAATCTCGGGTGTATTCTGTAGTTTAGCCCCATGTTTTCCATCCTGTTCCATTATCCTTTCTTTTTCTACTACAAATAATTTATAATGCTTGCACGGCAGTAAATCATCAGTATTTTCCCCTGTTGTTGCACCTGATGATGACGATGATGGTGATGCTGCTGCTGATGATGATTCGGATGATGATGATGATGATGATGATGATGATGATGTGGATCAGATGTGTTGTATGTACACGTATGGGGTACAGGAACAGCGGAGTGCTCACTAGTTTACCAGTAGTATGTGTCCTTCTATACCTCGGTTGTCTTAACTCTATTGGTGGTTTCAACATTTTGCCTACAGCGGATTCGTCGTAAAATGGCGTAAGTTGATCTGTCTGCTTCACATAGCTCCTCTTTGTCATTATCTCTCACCCGCGCGCAGAAGGTCATAAAAAAGCTTACAATGGAAGGAAAATACGAGGACGTGAATTTAAATACGGGAAATGGTGAGTCACAAAATCCCAAGGAGAGATTTTTTAGGTCACTTGTGAAGAGTTAAACTGTTATAAAAATGAGTGCCTGTATCGAGATGACAGTTATATTTGGTTACCTGTGATAGGTGGCGGTCAATCTTGCAAATACTTGTTTAGGAGCTTCAGGCTCCATAGACCGAGTTCAGCACGGCTGCCAATCGAACCATGTAGATATTCAGGCCTAGCCAATGTCACTTTTCGGATAACCAAGCAATGGCTTGGATTCATACGTTTCCGTGCTACGGTACAAGAGGAAATCGAATCTGTATGAATCATTCAAAAGTAAGTCAGAGGAAGAATAGATTTACACGATGACTGAAGCTTTCATCTGAACCGTTGACACTCGAGGAGCCGGTCAATTTGTTGCCACATGATGCGATTTTCCGTGATGGTGCGATGAGTGCCTTGGACCCGAGCGAGCAAACTTAGGTGATAATACCAGTAATTCGCTGGACATGAGTGCTATACACAAATGATTGTGAGGCGGTTTCCGAAATGATGTTCATTGATCAACCGGAATTTTCAACACTAACACGTGAGTATTAAGGTGTAAAATTACGGTCGCACGGTGAGCCGCTTCTGCATTGTATGGAACAATGAACTGATCGGTTTATGTTTATTGTTTTTTTTTTATTTCAGGCGAAGATGAAATACACGGAGCGTCTGATGACCGCCTGTACCATGATCAGTGATAATCGAGCTGATGTGGAAAACCTATCAGTGAAACTGACAAGCGTTTCACCGATTGAAATTATTCGTGGACTCCATGTTACATCCACCGACGGAACATGGTGTTTACCACTGACCATGCAAGGAGCACAGACATTATCACCTGCTCAACTCAAGGTGCAATTTATTTCTGCAATGGGATCGCTGTTTCATCAACGAGTTTCGTTGGATGCGCTCATGGCATTAATCTACATATGAGGTCCCGTTGCAGATATTCAGCGAAATTCATGAAAATTCCAGTGAGGTTGTACGTACTCCAAACTGATGTACAGAAGAATGAATTTCGTCAGTAATTTGCGTTACCCTGGCAACCGAGTGATTTTATATTGTTTCTTCTTAATAGTGAGTAGTCTAGGAATTCAATTCTTCCAATCAGCATTGACAGAGCTCTCGATAACAATAAGTGATGCTCAATTGTTGTTGTTTTCATTTTTCGTATGCAGTCGATCTCATCAAAGGAAATGAATGTTGGGGAAGAGTTATTGAGGAAGTACGGGAGCAATCAAACGTCAACAGCTCAATATTTTTTTGGCCGTTTCTTGAATCCAACGTGATTCGTATAGGATTTATAGTCTATCTACAACCTCCCACAACTGTACTTCTCGCTTCTTTCAGCTTGGCCACATCTTCAGGGAAACGTTTCGTGATATCTTCGAGGATGTGACAGCCCACCATAAGCCAACGCAAAAAGGCCTGTCCAAGAGGGATGAGCTAATGTTTTTCAAGGTAGTATTCGGTTAATTCCGGACGCACTGCTTCACAATTCAGCAGGCAGGTTGACTTCGTGGTGCACCGAAACAAGAGTGGGCAAAATATGCATACATTACTTACTAATGCATTCATCCACGGCGTCACGTAAGGCAAGCCTCATTCTCAAAACTACTCTTAGTTAAACGTCCAGCAGATGAACTTTCGGGGCAAATGTGATGCTCACACCACTTGCACCTTCGTTCTCTTCCTGAGATTATACGTTCATGTCGGAACATGGTGTTCATTAGTTCAACATCTTGTAAGCTATTTTCCATCATAATCCGTTCTCACTAAGGCGACTGATGGTAGGTGGAAGTTGATGGAGATTAATCAGAATTTCGAAAATACGAAGTGTTACGGAGTAAGCATATAGTTCTATCAAGCTTGACAGCAGCTCGATGAAGCTGCCTGACTTCAATGCAATTCATTTCATTGCAGTTCAGGTCAGTTCAGTTCAGTTCAGTTTAGTGTAATTCAGTTTGAACTCATTGAGAACTGAATTCTAACCACCATAACATAACCACCAAGAAAATTGGTAGATTGTTGTTGGAAGTGACACAGGAGAGCCGTGAATAGGGGTTTCTTTGTTTATGAAGGATCCCTGTATTCAACAATGCTAAGGAATATAGTGATGCATGATTGGGCCAGCAAATCTTGCTGGAATCGTTGGGGATGTTATTCAAAAACGCACAATTTCGAGGACCATTTACCGAACAAATCGATGTCCAACCGACAGAAATCTGGAACAATTGGTGCGGTAAAACTTTAGAAAGAGAAGCCCAGGATGAAATCCATGACCAATGAACTCGGGTCAGTTTATATGAAAACCTATGTCTTACGTTGAATGTGTATCTTGGTTTCAATGTTTTGACAACCACTTTCAAATCTCTGTTGACTTAACCTCAGGTTTTTCCGTATATGGTGTTATATATCCCTCTTTTTGATCAACGAGACTAGCCCTTTTTTTACAAAGCTCGTTCGATTCTACCTGCAATTACTTTCCTATGGATGCTGCAAAGGTTTAGACAGCTGACGACCAGTTCCGCCTTTCTTAGGGCTGATCAGGTAGGCGAACTTCCTGAGATCCCATCAGCCTTGTGTTCTGGATGATCATTCAGTAGAAGCGAAACATCATTGGCGGTTCACTGGTGTCCCATGTCGAAACCAAATCCGTTTACAAGCATGAGTCTTTGACAAAATCTTTCGGGTTAAACTAAAACATGAGGTTGACGGAAACTCTGTGACTGCGACTACCTGATGAACCCCAAGACGGGCGAAACCGGTCATAGTTTTACTACGTATTTTGTTTCGTGGAGTTCGCACAGTCACTCATCTGCTACGCAGCTGAAATATTTTGCGTATTCTTCGCTAACATCGTGCGTATATATATATAAAAGCGCCTCAAAATATCCAAAACTCAGATATACCGATACCCACCAACATCTTCTACAAATGCCAGTTTTAATCGCGTACCCGATATATAATTGACATTCAGTGCGCCTCACTGATAATCTTCCGCACTGCAAAGCATAATGGCCGGTTCTTCACGAGAATGCTGAAGCCTGTTGGTGGCCGTTATGAGGAATCTTGTGTGAAAAAACCTCCCTGTTCGGTTGAAAGCATCTTAGTCATTAGTATAAAACTGTGCTCAAAATGAAGGATCCTAAGTATTTCTTATGTGTAGCGAATCATTCGCTTCCACGGCTAGACTGACTTCATAGTTGAGATTCTGTTATCAATCTGCCTTCAGGTCTTCGAGGCTGCCCAGCATACAACTCATTTATTGGATATGTGCAAACTCGGATACGAGGCTGAAACCCTCATTGACTCTGTCAACAACGTCTGTTCCTAACGAATACGCACCGCATTCTGTGATTTTGCCAAAATAAAATGAATTTCCGAGTTTTTACGTGAAATGCGGACTACGGTATAGAACACTCTTACATTGCAATGTTTTAGTTGCTGTTTGGAGCCAGGTAACATTCCCTGTAGTGGAAGCCAGCCACTACATAACACCAGCATGAAATGCGTCGTCATTCGCTAGTTGGTAAATTGTTCTTCTGATCGCAAGCAATCGGCGATATGCAAGCCAATACGCATGAAATTCCCGTCCCGTTAACTTTTGTGTTGTAACTTTGTAAGAACAGCAGTCATAATATTTCCTTCTGCCGTAAGGAATGCGTTTCATCCGGGCAATCCACTGCCATCCCGCAGCGTAAAATAACTTCAGAGGCTGATATCAAGCTAAAGGCCCAACACAGACGGCAATCCGATTGCTTCGGTTACACGCAGAATTAAAAGGTCGATTAAAGCAGATGTACTCTTCAGCTACACCTCGTCTTTGGGTAAAATAAAAGGAATGTTGCTGTTACAGGTTTTTCCACTCCTGTGTCCAGTGCCGGAAAAGGTACACAACAGTCTTATTCCAAACAAGCGAGTGCGTGCTAGTGGAAATGTTACAAAGTCTCCTCGCTATTTAAAGAGCACTTTCTGGCATTATTACAGGCAGTCTGATGGACGTTTAGTGCACAGCCATCAACATCCGTCGTACTACTGAGAGATGAATGAGCGCTAATCACATTTGGTCGTGCATCTTTGGCGTGCATGAACGCTTTTGCCAATTTGCTTTAATGATTAACTGGCCTGGATGCTTGCCGGCTTTCCTATTCAAATTTTGGTGGAGGTATTAGGTATCAGTAGATTCCGACCATCCTAGGGTTAACTTTAGGATTTGGAACTTTCTGATAGATAAAATTCTATCAATCCCATATTAACTACTTCTTGTCGAATGACTCAACAGAACCCAAAGAAATATTTCGTATATACCGGACAATTTCACCTTGATTGTAAACTAAACTAAGTTCCAGAATCATCTTCGGTGACGGAATGACGAGTTGGTTCATTCATCTCAATGCGCGAAATACTCGTGGTATTATTTGCGTCCGAAGAATAAATCACATAAAAGTTGCCGCTTCCTGGGATGTCTAGAACACCGTATGCAGGAGCATGATATTTGACCCAATCGAAAGTCCCGGGCCAGGCTAAATGCGAATTGGGATTGGAATTGCAGGTTAACAAACGCAAAAGTTGTCATTTGCTTCCCACAATAGTTGACATAAAATTGAGCGAGTCGCATAAAACTTAACATGTCCTGTTTTGCCCGGACTCGTCGTGCTACGTGAACGTCAGAAGCGAATCAAACACCGCAGTTCAGCCCCCCTTCCAAGTTTTTAGATTTACAACCATAGTCATGGTACAACTTTCAGAACTCCCTATTGTAGTGAGGATATTTTCTCTGGAGAGCTCGAGATAGCTCAGTGGTTAAGGCACGATCTTACTGGTCGGAGGGTTCGCGGTTCGGGCTCAACCCTGGCATTTCGCTCAATCCTGTTTAAAATTGGGCAGTATCTCAAACATCGTAATCGTTTGGGTGTTATGGTAAAACATCTGAATGATTAATTAATTTTCTTCGCAGATGGTGTTCTTCCTCCAGTGGTGTTTGAAGATGGGCATGCTTAAGATCGATTTTTGAGAACACACTTAATCCTGATTAAACATCAAGTACCTTTCCGGGCTCTTCTGTAGTGCATGTACATCGTGGTCACCGCGTATTTGGCGTTGGCCGGTATTTTCCACAAACACTCGGAGTAATGCCGTCAGCATTTACTGGTGTAAATATCAGAGTTGCCCAGTTCGATGGTTCGACAGTATTCCTTTCCCACACACTGAATTCATTGCTTCCTGTAAGCCAAATAAAACAATACGTCTCCTAAAAATTATAGGGTCTCCTCTGACTTCGAGTCTCACTTTGGATATTTGCATGCTACCTGTGGACTTAGAATCAGTTGTTTGTACTCATTCTCATTCAAAGAAGTCAGTGGGGTGATAATAGTTTCCAGAACTTTGAGTCCGATAATCAGTAGTCCCAGGGTTGAAACTAGAATAATACAATCGATTGAGGTACCTTGGAACAATCTCACAGGGGTAGTTCAACTACCAACTAGGGATACAGAATGTCCAGTGATACCGCAAATGTTGATATCTTTAGGCACTTTCACGACACGGGTAGAATGCAGTTACATCTGAGTGTGGAATGTTGGACTCAACACTATCAGTGTCAACAATGAAGTCATGTTTTGACAAGAATCGGGTACTAGAGTTATCAAAACGTTGTGAAAACGAATTTTTGAATAAAACAGACAGGGAAAGGGTAGGGATGTTTTCAGGTAATGCGTCCACGTCGATATTCGGATCAGAAACTTTTGGACTTACAGAAAAGTTTTACCGCAGATGAATTACTTCGCTCGCCTGTGAGGGCATGAATATCTGAAATAGTTTCATCTACAAGATTCACATTTCCCAAATTTTTGAACCAACGAATTAGAGTTACGATCTGTGAAGTGACTTAGTGATGTATTTGGGGCACGAGAATTCGTTCGAGGTTTGAATTTATTGTCTACTCGTGGGCACTATAATGACACTGGGGTGGAATGCAGTTAGATCTGACTACGGAACAATAAACTCAACACCACCAGTGTC